GTAATGAGGCCACATTAGACTTGCCACAAAAGGGCACACATTTTGACAAGTAAAATATAGACAAGTCAGAAGTTGTGATAGGGCGGCAGTGAGATAAGAGGGTAAAGAGTAAATAGATAAGCCATGACAGAAAGAGAAGTGATAGTGTTGCCATTTTGGCAGAACGTTTTTCGAGGAATTGTCTTCACTGGTCTCTTTGACGAGTTCGTAGCTTGGTGCTTAGACTAGCACCACTCACTGATGAGGCCGACTACGATGCCGGCGAAACGTTTGAGAATGTACCAAGCTAGAATCATGACAGCTACTAAGGCAGACGACTTCAGACTATGTGCTCTCTACTTATTCACCCTGACAACAAGACCAAGTTTTGACAGCTAGTTCAACCCATTTTAATAAAAGTGTTTTTTTACTCTTGGCCTTGGTTTTGACCCGGAAATGCACTTTTTGTACGATTTTTCTAATTTTTTCTTAACTGAAAATCTCTATACTTATTCCGGTTCATTTTTAGTGGGAATGTGTTGCACCATCCAGGTACTACATTAAATAAACTCTAAATCTTTGAAAATATATGCGAATTTACTTGCCTGGATATAAAACACATGGCTACTGCTTAACCAGAAGAAGGATTTTATGAATTAATGCCAATGAAAGTGATATAGGAAATCAAAATTTGTGTTTAGAGTAAGGTATTAGTTTATAATTTCTAAGTATTACTGCTATTGTTGTATTCTGTTACCATATCTATATGAATCTGTGTTTACTGATTATTTCCATTATATATTCAATTGTGACATGACTTTATATTTAAGGAAATGTTGGTCAGAAGGAATTCGTGAAATGATCTCACAGCAAACCGTAGGAGTTTTGCTGTAAGTGAGAACTAGTAGATGGATGAAGATGTCCTAGGCTCTCTCCCCTGCAACATCAACTAACCCGTACTGGCCTATTTCATAAAGTATAGTGTCCGTTTCTGATAATGTTTGTCATAGTATAAATAAAGGCGAATCACAGATTCATTGAAGTCGCAGGACGATAAGCCAAGGCTTTATTTTTATAATCCAATAATCTTTACTACGCGGCAGTCCTTGATCGGTTTCCGGTAGATCATTTCATAACTTCCTTTAAACTAACTTTTCCTTCAAAACACCTAAATTTCTCACGATAAATCTCTAAGGATTTCTTCGAAACCCAGCTTTTCTTCATATCATAAGATGTTTAACGCAAGATCATATTCATATCCGGAAGAGCGCATTAAAAAAAGTTTAAACGTGCATTCACATACATTTTATATCTTCAAAAATTTTTACAATAATGATTTATACTTTTGTATGCTGCAACTTGTTTTTATTCCTTTGGACTAAAGTTTGTTTGAATTAATGCTTAAAAGGCTCGATTTGCAAGATCGCTTGTTGTGCCCTAGCTCCATCATATTTTCTCATTAATTGATGTCACAGAATACATGTGAGCTTCTGCCTGATGGCAGGAAGCTATCTGATTTAAAGGTATCAGAATTAAGACAAGAATTGGAAATTCGTTCACTGTCTAAATCTGGAGTTAAGAAGGATCTTGTCGAAAGACTTTCTCAGGTGCTGCATTTATAACGAATTCTTTTTCTCAAGTAGCTTTCAAAATTGTCGTGTAGAAAATTTTAAATATATTTCTTGTTCGAAGCTTTTGGGCGTAACTTTTGGTATAGCCAAATGTGCTACGTTGTTCTAATTGATTTGCTCTGTTCATTAGTACCCTAGTCCCCATCCTGGTTTCTTGTGCATAATCTTTCAGAATGTTTATTTATCTGTATTATCAGCAATGGTGCTTTTATTATTACAGTCTTAAAATTTTTTCTTACTTATTTGTTATTCAGGCTTTATCGTTCGTACCTTTCGCGGTTTTGCCCGTTGCCAACGAAGATAAGTCCATACGTCATCAAGATTATCCAAGTATGGATAAAGAATGTGACCAGTTTGAAAAGAAGCAATTGACTCCATCCATTAAAGATTTTTCTGAGCCTTTTCCTCAAAATCTTAGTCAATCTCCCTCCGCCATCGATTTGCCTCTTTCGTAAGTGCAATAATTACCAGCCTGTCTGATTTTTTTAAATGTTTCGTTACTTTATATCAGTAATTCACTATATTGCACATCACATGTGAGTTTTATGCAATTTATTTAATCCTATTTGGTTTGTAAGCAATCCTTCATCTCA